TCCTCTAGAACATGACTCGCATATCCTTTTTCCTAAAACCTGTTTTTTAGGATACTGGCTTGTAGGTGGAAGTCAGATAGATTGTGACAGTTATGTCTAATCCTAATAAATTGTCCTTGAGGAATATTTTTCAACCAAAGTGGGTGGTGACAGCTGTCTGTAGGTATGTAGCTGTTTCTGTCGGTAGGCTTGAAAAAAAGATCTGGTCACTATATTAGTCCCATTGTTTATAAGTGTTAGACCTAAAAAGTTGATTTCATCACGGCTGGCAGTGTGGGTAATCCTAATATTCAACATGACTGTGCACCAGTACACAAAGCAAGGTCCTTAAAGACATGGATGAGTGAGTTTGGGGTGGAGAAACTTAACTGGAGTGCACAGAGTCCTGGCCTCAAGCCATAAGAACGCCTTTGGGATGAATGAGAGCAGAGACTGCGAGCCAGGCCTTCTCATCTGACATCAGTGCCTGACCTCACAAATGATCTTCTAGAAGAATGGTCAGACATTAACATAGACACACTCCTAAACCTTGTGGACAGCCTTCCCAGAACAGTTGAAGCTGTTATAGCTGCAAAGGGTGGGCCAACTCAATATTGAACCATAAGGACTTAAACTGGGATGCCATTAAAGTTCATGTGCATGTAAAAGCAGGTGTCCCAATACTTTTGGCAATACAGTGTATCTGAACCCAAGAACAAGTACGATGCAAAGTAGTCCTATCAGAAATTTGATGTCATTGCTTGAGCGAGCATGGTGTAAAACTAAATCCATGCAAGACTTTACCCTCTATAAATCTGCCCTACTCAAATAAAACTCCGGCCTCCACACTGCTAAACAAACCTTGTACCACCATACTCTTATCAAAACCCTCTCATCGAATCCTCTTAAACTCTTTTCTACCCTTAATTCCTTCCTCCACTCCCCACTGTCTCCACCCACCAACTTACTTACTGCACAGGAGATTGCCAGTCATTTCAACAAGATCGACACAATTTGTGATGAGATCTCCAGTGTCAAGTTTCCTCCTCCAACCAACATACCAGGCCCAACACCACACTCAACACTCTCCTCCTTTGATCCTGTTACCACCGAGGAAGTTAACAAACTCCTTTCCGAGGCTCAGTTCATCACCTGTCCCCTAACGATTATTGCAGCCTCCTTCCTGCTCTATCCTAAACTCTCTAACCCACATCTTCAACCTCTCACTCTCCATGGGCACCTTTTCCTCCCCACTCAAACATGCACTGGTTACCCCCATTCTCAAAAAACCCTCGCTGGACCCCACCTGTTTGAATAACTTAAGACCCATCTCCCTGCTCCCGTTTGCCTCCAAGCTTCTCGAGCGCCTTGTTCACAACCGTATGAACTGCTACCTCACCGACAACAAACCTTCTTGATCCCCTACAGTCTGGCTTCCACCCACAACATTCCACAGAAACTGCCCTACTAAAACTCACTAACGACCTACTAACTACTAAAACCAATGGCCATTACTCCATACTCATACTCCTAAACCTTTCCGCTGCCTTTGACACAGTCGATGACCCGCTTCTCCTCAGTAAAATCCACTCCATTGGCCTCCGTGACTCTGCTTTCTCCTGGTTCTCCTCTTACCTTTCTCAGGGCACTTTCAGTGTCACATACAACAACTCCTCTTCCGCTCCTCTCCCTCTTTCCATTGGGGTACCCCAAGATTCTGTCCTTGGGCCCCTCCTTTTCTCTCTCTACACCTCCTCCTTGGACCAATTGATAACCTCCCGTGGCTTCCAATATCACCTCTATGCTGATGACACCCAGATCTATATCTCCACTCCCCAGCTCATCCCCTCAATCTCCTCCCGTATCACAAATCTACTAACCGACATATCAGCATGGATGTCACACCACTACCTTAAACTCAATCTTTCCAAAATCGAGCTTGTAATATTTCCTCCTCCCCGATCCCCCACTCATGACTTTACCATTAAGATCAATAGCACAACCATTGGTCCTTCCCCTCATGCCAGGGTGCTAGGTGTAATCCTAGACTCTGACCTCTCCTTCGGGGCCCCACATCCAATCACTGGCTAAATCTTGCCACCTCAACCTCCACAACATTTCCAAAATCCGCCCCTTTCTGACCAATGACACCATGAAACAACTTATCCACACCTTGGTTTTATCCCACCTTGATTACTGCAACTCCCTCCTCACTGGTCTACCTTTACACAGGTTATCCCCCCTTCAGTCTATTAATACTGCTGCCAGACTCATACACCTTACCAACTGATCAGTGACTGCTGCCCCTCACTGCCAATCCCTTCATTGGCTTCCAATAACCCAACGTATAAAATTCAAAATACTAACCACAGCATACAAAGCCATCCACAACACTGCCCCTAGCTACATCACCAACCTCATCCGCAGATATCGGCCAAATCGCCCACTCCTCTCCTTCCATGATATCTTGCTCTCTAGCTCCCTCATCACCTCTTCCCACGCACACCTCCAGGACTTCTCCAGAGCCTCTCCCATCCTTTGGAACTCCTTACTGCAGTATATCCAGTCAGCCCCCACCCTGTCTGCCTTTAGGAGTTCTTTGAAAACTCACTTATTCAGGGAATCCTACCCCACCTCCACCTAAGAACTGTACTTGAGCCACCTCCATCAGAACATCGCCTACAGCTATCACCTTTTGTACCACCTCCCCCTTCCTTTAGATTGTAAGCTCCACAAGCAGGGCACTCCTAGTCCTTCTGTACTGAAATGTATTGTAATTGTGCTGTCTCCCTTGTATTGTAAAGCACTGTGCAAATTGTCGGCGCTATATAAATCCTGTATTATAATAATAATAATTGTAGCTTCCTGTGGACTCAAATGAAAGCTGAAAACAATGTTATCAGCTTTTCCTGATTGTAAATACTATAAAGCAATGCACTCCAAGTATTGGGGATGAAGAGAGGGAGAGGTGTTCTATAGTCCTTTCCTAGGGTGGAAGTCCACCCTAGGACTTGATGGGTGGACAGTAGAAGTGTGTTACTGGCAGGATCACCATATACAAATTAAACTAATGCACCAAGTTGTATCATATTACATTTAGTTTTTGGGTTTAGAACACTGCAGCATCTACAAAAACAATTGAATATTAAATACGGGTAGATTGGTTTTTTAAAGCTAAATTCCAGCTTATTTGATCCCCCACCCCCAGACTTTGGTCTAGTCACATGATATTATGGGTCCTTTTCCTCCGGCGGTGGGTGGACCTGAATTTTGTAGAGAATGCACTCATGGCACTAAAGGCATGTAACGTTTCCTAAAGCATTCTCCTATGAGCACAGAGCAGCTTGATGATGCACCCCTGGGGGATATGTCCTTGACGCTCTGGGATCATAGGTAGTAGGTTGAATGACATTGGGTATCATTCACCCCAAGAAAGGTTCAGCGCTGTATGACCGGACGATAAGTCTGCATGAGGTATTGCTGAAGAAGAAGCAAGTAGTGCAGTGAAAGGTTATCTTTTTAACTTGTATATTCCAAAAGGATTTTATTTAATGAAACTTTAAAAAGAAAACTGTAACATAAATAACATTTGAACAGTATTCATGTCTCAGTAAGTAGTCCCAACTCCCGAGTGAAAAGTATGGGTTTGTTTGGAAATAACGGAGACAGAGCATATACTCTGTCGATAAGCAAACCACAACATTTGAATATTTTCAAACAGTCATAAACAAAGTAAAGAGGGTTCCTGACGCTAGAAATCAGTTAACAGGAGTCCATGTTACAAGTGGTCAGGAGTATAACAAACCCCCTCAGCAAAGTCCACAGTGGTGGGATATGAAGAAGGGAGGGGAAAAAGGTAGTGGATGTGCGGAAAAGGACCACTGTTCACTTGCCTGAGACTACAGAGTCAGAGCCACATGAAGCCCCTGAAAACATCTTTATTACAATCAAAGATATAATCACAGATACTTAACAGAAGAAGAAAGAAAGATTTTTAATTTTTAAAAGACCTACAGTATGTATTAACCACTTGCCCTCCAGAGGATTTATCCCCCTTCCTGACCAGCCATTGCTTGATTATGGCGCTGCGTTACTTTTAACTGAAAATTGCGCAGTCATGCAACACTGCACCCAAATTAAATTTACATCCTTTTTTACCCACAAATAGAGCTTTCTTTCAGTGGTATTTTGGGGTTTCTGTGCGTTTCTTATTTTTTTTGCACCATAAAACAAAAAAGACTGACAATTTTGAGAAAAAAACAATATTTTTGACTTTTTGCTATTTATTATTTATTTATTTCAGGTACTTATATAGCGCCGTCAATTATTATTATTATACAGTATTTATAAAGTGGCAACAGTTTGCTCAGCACTGTACATTACAAAGGGGACAGAACATGCGACTGTACAATAACAATACAATGCAAAACACGAGGGGTTCGAGGGTCCTGCTCTTTCGAGCTTACAATCTAGGAGTCAATGTACGCAGCGCTTTTTACATATATATTGTACATTCACATCAGTCCCTAACCCTCAAGGGGTGTACAATCTAAGGTCCCTAATTCACATTCATACATACACATACTAGGGCCAATTTAGACAGGATCCAATTCACCTACCAGCATGTCTTTGGAGTGTGTGAGGAAACCGGAGTACCCGGAGGAAACCCACGCAGGCACAGGGAGAACATGCAAACTCCAGGCAGGTGGTGCCATGGTTGGGATTCGAACCAACGACCCTAGTACTGCCAGGCGGAAGTGCTAACCATTTAGCCACTGTGCTGCCTATATTGCTATTAAACATGTCCAGTAAAAAAAATGTAAAAAAAATGTAATTTCATCATAAATTTAGACCAAAATGTATTCTGCTACATGTCTTTGCTAAAAAAAAATCCAATACGTGTAAATTAATTGGTTTACGTGAAAGTTATAGCGTTTATAAATGGCAATATATATGCTGGAATTTTTTTTTTTTATTTTTTTTACTAGTAAAGGCAGCGATCAGCAACATATAGCAGGACTGCGGGACTGCGGCGGGTATTCTGACACTTGGGGGAACTGACTTGGTGTCACTGACATCTCCAGTGACACCAATACAGTGATAAGTGCTAATTAAAAGCACTGACACTGTCCTAATGGCACTGGGCAGGAAGGGGATGACATCTGGGGTGATCAAAGGGTTAACTGTGTGCTGTTTCACTGTGTGCTATGTGTGTGCTTTACACACACTGCTTTGTGTGGCTCTACTATCCAGAGCCATACAAAGCAGTGTACAGGAGCTGACAGGGGAGAGAACTGTGTTGTTTATACACAGGTCTCTCTCCTGGCGGAAATTCTCGGTGCCAGCGGGGAATCACCAGTGATTGACAGCCGAGGCCGCGAACGGCGTCACAGGTAGGGACCCCCTACCTGGAACTGCAAAATCACATATATATATATGTGATTTTGTGCACACGTGCCGCCCTGTAGCAGTATTTCAGCTATAGGGCAGCACGGAAGCGGTTAAAATTGGATTTTTAGCTAGCTTTAACAGTTGTGTTTATTCATGTTCTATTCTACAGGTCAGCAACCTGTAGATCACAATCTACCAGTAGATTCCGGCCAGGTGACTAGTAGATCGCAATCTGGGTTTGCTGATCTGCCATCCTAGAGCATCAAACAGAGTACAATGTAGAGGCAGTTTTTGTAAAGTTGGAGCTGTAGTAGGGAGCAAGAGCCGCATATGCCAATGCCTCCTCTGTAGTGTTGGCTCCTGTCCCATGCGGCGTGATGCCAACTGCACAGAGTGGTGCCAGCAGCAGGAAAGAAGAGATCTTCAGGTCAGTGTAAAGCAATACACTGGGCATAATAGTATGGGGCTGCTTTCACACTGATGCACCGCAATTTACCGACACCGCGGGTGCAGGGCAGTGTACTTCCAGCTTTCCTGTAGGTTTGCTGTGCTTAGTAATAGACTTTTATTTTATCCTGTGGGTTTGGTGTACCCTCTGAAAACACACCAAAACTCCTGAATGCAGGAGTTTTGGTGCCCTTTCAGAAAGTGCACCACACCTGCAGGATATAGTAGAGGTTTATAGCAAGTCACAGCAAACCCAGGAAAGTCACAGATGCAGGTAAGATGCAGGTAATTGTGAATGCAGCCTTACAGGGGGCTCAGAACAGCAAGGGTTAATTTAGCAGTTTTAGGGGTGGTAAAACCACATTGTTAAAAAGTGTTTTTACCACCCAACTGCAGCCCCTTTTAGCTGCAGTGGCCAGGGGTGTACACATGTTGTAGCAGACGTTATACACCCTGTCATGGTTGTTGGGTGTAGCACCTGCCATGCATGACCCATTCAAGTGAATGAGGCCGTTCTGCAAGTGCAAGTGCCTGCAGCCTTGTGCAGCACAGCAAATGAGGGGTTAAAACAAGCAGCATTGTGTTCTTTTCTCACTACCTTTAACTCCCTGGGCCCTGCAGAAGCTTGCAGAGTGGCCCCATTTACTGGAATGGGTCATGATTGGCAGGCGGTAGCACCCAACAAAGGTAACAGGGGTTTAATTCCTGCTGCAGCATGTGTACACTTTTGGCTGCTGCCTCACTAACTAAAAGGGGAGGGATTGGGGGCAGTAAAACTGCGATTAAACCGTAGGGTTTTATCACTCCCCAAGTTTATGTGTGAACAAGCCCTAACCCCTGGTTCACATATATGCGGCTGTGTGGGCCGCATTTGCACGGGCACGAGAGCCCATTCATTTGAATGGACTCCCGTGCCCTGTAGCATGCAGGGAAGAAGTCCCTGCACTTCTTTGGAAAACGCTGCCTGCACGGGAACCTCGGTTCCCAGTACGGTTGCATTTTAGAGTGCGGGCGACGTACCATTAGAATTGATGGCACCCGCCAGCGGGTCCGCATTTCTCTGTGCGAGTGGTGCAGCTGCACGGATTTTCGTGCGGATCCGCACAGATGTGAACTTAGGGTTAGGGTGCCGCTACCAAATGCAACTAAGGGCTCATTTACAAGTACAGCAGGCACGGCTGCTCCTCTGAAAAGTGATCTGAATGTGTTTGATAGGTGGCGGCGATATGTTGCCTCCTCACCACCTGATTTAAACCCATGATTGCGGTGTAATGTACACGATTGCAACACTGTAGTACGGCAATTAGAGGATTAAATGAGGTGTGAAGAGGCGACACTGTGCCCAGTGAGCTTTGACTTCTCCCATGTTGTTCAGGTGGATCTTCACCTCTTTAAGGTTGCCTACCCCTGTTCTAATGACTACAGCCTGTTGTTTGCATTTAGTGAAATTACATTTATCCCTTCCCACATTGTCTCTCTTTATTCTCTGGGTCCTCGCTATACCATTTTGTAACTTTGAATCCCCCTATTTGTTTGCTTCTGTTCCTTTTCTTTCCTGGTTAAAAGTAGAAGATAAATACAGTATATGCTGGAATGCTATCTTTGGCCATTTATATTTGCATTATTTCTTTGACCTGTTGCAGCACTAATAAAAATGTTCATTTACTAAATGAATTACAGCTGTTAAATGAATTAGAGCAAAGTGAATGTTAGTGAATAAGGTGGTGTTGCTTTTAAATTTCCCTCACCCATGATTGGATAGTCGAAGGAAGCACTAACATTCACTTTGTGAAATCATAATGCCCTTTGCTAGGTGAACAGCCTTGACCCCTTTTAGTAAATCAACTATTCACACCATCTCATTTTACCATTCTATGGCTTTATTTGTCAAATATTATCCTCAAAAAAGTTTCAATGAGAACATTTCTCTAGCGAAAAGTTCAAACAAACCTAACCAGCAGTCATGAAATATATGGATTTTTGTGGATGGGTTTTTGTATTCGACGCATACAAGTCTATAGAATGCAAAACCCACTTAAAGCAGGTCAAATGCTCCTGTCAAAGAATTTTCAATAATCTCAGAAGTGTCTGAAACTGATGCCATGGCCATTCTGCTGGATTGAACTAAATGGTGTCATTTGTCACACATTTATGGAACTTGCAGATCAAAATCTCTCCTGCTTTTTGTAACGTACTACTGGAACAGTTCTCCTAACATGCATCCAAGTATATATCTTTCACATTAAACACTAACTCAACAAAATAATATTTTCCTATTCACCAGTCAGGACCATACTGTATGTATGTGCTGCTTTAATATCATTAAAAAAAAAATTAAAAATACAATTTATTAAAAAAAAAAAATGCTAAAAACAAAGGTAATGCAGAATGATTGGATCCACTAAAAAAATCAATATATATCATCATATAACACCCAACTGTACAACCATATATACACAGACTGTTCTTGAAAAGCTGGTCATACAGTTAGCGATTTGATTGATTTAGGTACGTGTGATCGCAAGCAAGCAATTCATCATCAATCAAAATATAGTACAATGCAGTACATGCAGTATACTTGGCGTCTCTTCTTTTTATCAATTAAAATATTGAACAATATAGTACATGTGATATACTGTACACAGTATTGACCCACATAATAGTAGTAAAAATTTCTTTAGACCTTTTAAATCAAATTCGACAAATCTATGTCACCATAACCTTCTTTCAGAAAAGCTGAATATTGGCTGTCAAAATGGCAACGTTTGTTCACTGGAGCTGTCGACAAATTTTGGGAATATAATCTAATGTGATTTTTATCAAACATACTGTACATAGAGATGCATGTTTACACATATATGACGAGGATGAGATTTTAATTGAACATTAATGAATAAAACATACACTATATTGCCAAACGTATTGGGACACCCCTCCAAATCATTGGATTCAGGCGTTCCAATCACCCCATGGCCACAGGTGTATAAAATCAAGCACCTAGGCATGCAGACTGCTTCTACAAACATTTGTGAAAAATTTGGGTCATTCTCAGGAGCTCAGTGAATTCAAGAGTGGTAAGCGTGGTACTGTGATAGGTTGCCACCTGTGCAATAAGTCCATCCATGAAATTTCCTTGCTACTAAATATTCCACGGTCAACTGTTAGGAGTAGTATAACAAAGTGGAAGCAACTGGGAACAACAACAACTCAGCTACGAAGTGGTAGGCCACATAAAATGACAGAGCAAGGTCAGCGCATGCTGAAGCACACAGTGCGCAGACGTTGCCAAATATCTGCAAAGTCAATAGCTAAATACCTCCAAACTTTGTATGGCCTTCAGATTAGCACAACAACAGTGCATAAAGAGCTTCATGGAATGGGTTTCCATGGCCGAGCAGCTGCATCCAAGCCTTACATCACCAAGTGCAATGCAAAGCATCAGATGCAGTGGTATAAAGCACATCACCACTGGACTCTAGAGCAGTGGAGACGTGTTCTCAGGAGTGATGAATCATGCTTCACTGCCTGGCAATCCGATGGGGACGTGTCTGGCTTTGGTGGTTGCCAGGAGAACGGTACTTGCCTGACTGCATTGTGCCAAATGTAAAGTTTGGTGGAGGGGGGATTATGGTGTGGGGTTGTTTTTCTGGGGTTGGGCTTGGCTCCTTAGTTCCAGTGAAGGGAACTCTTAAGGCATCAGCATACCAATACATTTTGGACAATTTCATACTCCCAACTTCGTCGGAACAGTTTGGGGATGGCCCCTTCCTGTTCCAACATGACTGCACACCACGACACAAAGCAAGGTCCATAAAAACATGGATGAGCGAGTTTGGGGCGTTGGAACTTGACTAGTCTTGACCTCAACCCGATAGAACACCTTTGGGATGGATTAGAGTGGAGGCTGCGAGCCAAGTCTTCTCGTCCGACATCAGTGCCTGACCTGACAAATGCACTTTGGGAAGAATGGTCAAACACTCCCATAGACACATTCTTCCCAGAAGAGTTAAAGCTGTTATGGTTGCAAAGGGTGTGCCAACTCAATATTGAACCCTATGGACTAAGGCTGGGATGCCAGTGCGTGTAAAGGCTGGCGTCCCAATACATTTGGCAATATAGTGTATATTTGTATGTACAAAGTATCGCGGAAAGGCACTGATTACACCACCAGCCCCTAAGCTGAAGGCCTGGTAGGCCAAGAGTCTATCCATCAATCTCCTTTTATTAATAAATACTATATTTTAAAAAGCATATTTGTCGCTGTAATAAAATAATAAATACATTCATATTGGAAAAAGAAAAATCTTGCATGCATTCATTTTTTGCACTGGAGCCTGTTAAGCATTACAACCACAATCACTGCATCTTTGATGCATTGCCCAGGATCTTGTAGGCTCTTTTTCCAGCCCCAAGTCTGTATGGAGGTAGGTACCTTTCATTATGGAGCTGGAGGAAATAATCAATGGATTACGAGTGTGGTGATG